GAAAGTCTTGAAGACTCGGAAAGAGCGGATCTGACTCAGCTGACTTCAGAGAACTCAGCAATTGCGAAAAGAAGCGTTGATCGGTCGTAACTAGGAAGGAACACTTACTGTATTTGGTGTTCATTCTTCATTTGGTGTTCATGCGGGTTGATTGAACGGGTTCTTCAAACACATTCGTCCAAAATACAATCCGAAATCCATTGGTTACCATAGGGTTTTTATACTTTACACACAGATCAAGCCTACCAAAGAAAGCAATTATATGCACTCACAACAATTGCCTCAGCTTCTACAGCATGGGTTCGCTCACTTCCAGGATTTGAGGAGACTCTCATAAGCAAACAAAGCCATAGTTTTTGCTTTTGGATCAGCTCCAGTTTCCGAATCCAAGTGTCCCAAGGATCCAGGTGTCGGCAGTATAGGCACAAAGCCGCTTTGAACATCTGAGAGCCTAGATCTACAAGTTTGCTACAGCGCTCCCAGGGGAAACAGACGTTCTTCAAAACGGCATCGCTACTAGTAACAAGGGCATCGCTACTAGTAGCTCCTGGCATTACTACTAGTAGCTAGAAGCTACTGATCATATTAGGATCATCGTGGATCAAACACACTGTCCGGCTCTGAGCAAGGTGAGTGTCCCACACACGAGGTGCAGTGTTCCATTGCTGAGGGCCCTCTTGCCGTGACTTGCCAAAGCCTGGCAGGCGTCAGGGCTTTCTGTGTTTATTAGGCCAAGCATACACATATGTCAAGCAATCACCGCTGAACAAAAAGGGATGGGTTCAATGGAATTCATCGCGTTGAGTTCTAGATGAAGACACACATCCGTGGTGTTCTTGAACGCATGTTGTTTCCATCCTTCCACGGATGAGCACTTGCCTTAGCCTGGAGTTTCTCGTCCTACACGCCCTGAGGGCGACACAGCGCCACACGAGATATTTGCATGCCATGGCAGACCTTGCCTGTGAGAGCTTTGTGATTGCTGCCGCACTGACATTGAGAGTAAATGACTTGCTGATGCCTTTGGAAGGGAAAGCAACGTTTTGCAAGCCCCAAAAGCCCCCGTTTCAGTGCGCATGAGCCGAGGATGCTTTGTTCTTTGTTTGCAAGGAGCACTATCTTGAGTGAATCCGTGCCCGACATACTTTCTCCCTTTTTTCTTTTGCTTGACCAGTGCCTGTGAGCTTTGGATCTTGTTCATATTGACGCAGGTTTTAAATCAATCTGCCGAACGGCCTCCAGCAATTGCTCTAAAGAGACGAATGCTACTGTAGATTATTCTGAGCATTCAGCCAGATTGTACTCAAAAGACCTCACCACCCCCAATCTGCGAGTCCTGACTGCTTCGTATGTTGTCATCCTGAACTGGTCACTGGCAGTTTTTCGAGCCACCCCAAACGGTTCATTTCAAACGTTGGAACTTGTTGAAGCTAGCCGTTGACCCTTCTGGCCATGGCGAATGTAGCTGTGACCTTTACAGTGGAATGCTCCTGCACAGAACATGGAGCCTCGAGCGCAAGAGATCGACTGCAGTCCTTGTCGAAGTACAACGGCAGTTTAGTGTGGCTGGGGAGGTCTTAGGTTGCAGCCCCCCCGGCGGTTTCAAGGGATCTAGAGAAGAATGAGACAGCATCATGTGTCAGCATTGGTTGCACAAAAAATCTGCTACTGTAATTGATTTGCAAAACCTGAGTGTTCCATGCAGGTCCATGCATGACTGCATGACTGGCGGCGCCACCTAAAAAAATCCAACCTCATTCTTTCAGATTTCCTTCAGCCTTATGGCAACTAAGACTCTGCCCCTTTTGTTGCTTTGGCTTGGTTTGCCCCGATTGCTTTTCTTGTAGTAACAAGAAGCTACTGGGAGCAAGGGCATCGCTACTGGTAGAAAAGGGCATTACTACTCACTACTAGTAGCATTCTTACTACCAGTAACAAGGACGCTCCTATACGCACTGGTTGCCCTGGTTGCCTGCTCGTTGATTTGTGGCTTCGGTCCGTTGAGGTGAAGAGGTTTATGTCGTGGGATCTCACAAGAAGCTGGGCGCATGGGATCCCCTTGAGGCGTGGTTCATGGTCGTCTACGTAGAATGCCCTGGAATTATTCGCATGCCAGTGGAGCCTTGCTGTTTACGTAAAGGTTTGAGACCTAGGTCACTACACTATAGTTCTTAGATGCCTTAGGTGTCCTTCGTTTTTTACAAGCAATGTATTTGTAAATATATAATATATTTGTATTGTCTATACATGTTTTGTTCTACTATCCAAGACTGAGACTTGTCGGACTTGAGTTAGCTTCCGTGAACTCTTTGGAGCCAACTTCCGTGAACTGCTGGAAGCCCCGCCAAACCGAATCGACTCAAAGGATGTTTGATCCCCGCGCGTTGGATGTTGGAGCTTCCCTCTCTTCCGGTAGGCTGTGCGGTGTACGACCACTGCTGAAAACTTTCCGCGGTGGACATCGAGCCCTGTGTCTCTGACAAATGGAAGCAGGAGTCTGAATCAGACGACTTGAGAGAATGCTAGAGCTAGCATGAATCAACTTTTGTCCCATAATACACGGTTTAATTTCAATACAAAAACAAGAGCTTCTGCCGAAGAGCTCCATCTCAACGAGGAAAGTGTTTTGGGTCCCTTGCCATCAATGGGAAGTTTCAAGTCGCAAAAGCTTGAGTTGGCGAGTTGCAACAAAATACATCAAATGAGCATCCTTTGTCAGCCTTGACGTCCAGGATCGAGTTCAAGACGGTGATCCGTGGCCCCGGGGGCAAGAAATGGGAGCACGGTCAGAACCGGCTCTTGCAGCTCTCAGTGCCTTCGCATGAGGCACCCAGTTGACTGCGATAGGATTTGGGACTGTTTCGAAGCTTTTATGCTTTTACTAACTTGATTGTGCTACGGCATCAGCCACTGAGATGAGAAAGGCCCGACATGGTGGGCCGACTGAAGACTGAAGGCTTTCGACGCATCCAACAAGTTTACAGGACAGGGAGGACTAGGTTAAGTTAAGTTTCCCGAAAATCCAGGAACCAAATCATTTGTTCGAGTGCTTCTTCAAGGGAGCTCGCTCTGGCGGGGGGGAGCTTCCTTTTGAGTCCAGTAGGTAGTAGCTTAAGTACCTAGGAGTGAACAGACCCCCAGTGGGCTTAAAAAGGCCGACCTCTTTAAAGACAACTCATCAGTCGGCCCCAGAAAGCCCGGGCTGGAAGCCTCGGACTCGGGCAGGCTCGGACAAATGTGGCATTCACATGGGGCCAGCCAGGAGTCAATGAGACTTGGCAGAATCTGCAATGTGCCGTAGTTTCTGGCTACTGGCACCTTTAAGCACTGAAGATTTGGGAATGCTCCCAACGCTGACATACGCTGACTAGGGTCAGATTCTGTGGTAGTTCACGGTTCGTTCATGAAATATATGCTACCGTATCGTCCAATGCGCGATGGTCTCGTCCCATGTCATCGAACAGGTGCCATGCTTCACCGAAACGGTGGCGTTGGGGTCTGCTGAGGAAGAGGACGATCGGGTCAGTGAAATGACGGGCGGCGCACGGAAGCCAAGAGCGACGACGCCAAGACCGTCTGGGACCGTCGAAGTCTCCACACGGTGGGAGACCGGCCTTCCATGTCTTTCGCAAGATCTCTGGATAAGCCATGGACAAACAAAAAGACAACTCAAATCTACGTTCTTCATTCTACTGAGCCTACAATGATGGATTTCTTCGGAGAACCTCCCTCGTTCCGAGAAGACTGCTCGGGTGCCCAGTTCCGGCGCGCGACCTCTGGTGGCTCCGAGAAGAGTGGCCCTTTGACTCGGAGCCCTGGACTTCAGGGGAATTGGTGGTCTTGGAAGCACTAGGCTAGGAGCAAGAAGCTACTGGGGGGCTCCTGTCCGTGCTACTAGGAGCAAGGACGCTGCTAGGAGCAAAGGGCATCGCTACTAGGAGGGGCTCCTGGCCGTACCGAGCCTGCGGTGTATCGGTGTACGAATGGGAGTTGTTCGAATGGGACGTGGCTGTGGGTCAAATCCCGGAGTTGTAAACCCTGGTAGGTTGACCTCCTTAGTAGTCCGTTGCGTTCATTTTCCGTGGTCAATGAGGGTTCCCCGGTTTTGACCCACAGCCACGTGGGGATCAACAGGGCATTCCGAATTCCCCAGTCGACAAGCAACCTCGTATGATTTTGTGATTTGTGGAGGTCAGTGGCTGGGCTTGAATGAAACATCGAAGGGCAATTGGCACCAGAGATCCATATTATGTGGCAGTAATTTGCACTCTTCGTCCGCAAAAATGCATGGAGGAATGCATGAAACACATTTAGCAATCAGGACTGCCGAAACTCAGAGGCATACTGGCATACTGTATGTCATACTTGCACCCTCAAGTATCGTCTCGTAATAAAGCTTGAACCAAGTCACCTCCTTTCTGGAAGAAGTGATAACCCAAAACTGACCAAGGTCAAGTTTCCCTAGAAATCTAGGAACCACATCATTAGTGCGAGCGCTTCTTCAAGGAAACTCCCGCTTCCTTGAAGAACTGTGAGCTATCCTGCGTCCTTGGTAGGCGCTTCCTATTGCTAGTAGCGAACTACTCCCTTACTTAATCAAGTACGATTAATTCAGTAGGGACGGGGGGGGAGCGGGCTTTAAACACAACACATGGCTATGCTACGCTTGTTTTTCGGAACTTCGGAGCACCGACTCTTCGGACCGAATGAGACTGGACCAGCCAGGATGATGGAAAGCGGATCCTCGATGAGTCGTCGTGGCAGTCGTCATTTGTGCAAGACTCGGAATGGCATGGTGAACGAGGAGATGACCAGGCAGGGCCGAGTTGAGCTACGTCGAACGGCCTGCCAATGGCAACGACGCGGGCTCAAGATGGTCTACTGCAAGTATTTGCGCCACCTAGGTCGTGGGGTAAGTAGGGCAGCTTGAATTCTTCATCTTTCACTGGTGTGCCATGAAGGGCTAACCCCAATTCACAGCGATGACAAGCCAAAGTGAGAGGACTCCGAGCTTGCTGTTGGTGGATTTCCGTGAGTTTCAAGAAGCTGCCGTGGAGCACGAGAAGGACTGCAGCGCTGTAGCGCTAGCGGAGCGAAACGGAGCGATGCGAGTTGTTTGGTGCAGATGTGGATGTGGGCTGGACAGGGGTGGAGATGCAGTACTCGTACAGAGTGACAGACTGCTTGACCTGCCCAATCAAACTGCTGTCCAGCGCACTACAGTACATGGAGAGAACTTCCAACTTCTGGTACTAGATGGTGCTAGTGTCGTGGGATGCGCAGCATCAAATACGATAAGATGTTCTCTGTAGGCAACAACCCTAGCTCCAGAGAACACCAGAACTGGCGCAAGGAGTTGGATGACATCGAAGAGCGTGCCAAATTGAACAGGCACTGTGTTCGAATTGGACATTTTCCACACAAGCGCATTGGAGATTTGACGAACACTACATCTTGTGGCATGATCTGCACAAGTGTTTCCCGATAGGATTTCCTTCCCAGTTGTGCTGTGCCCACACTGTGAGGCTGCAGAGGAAGATGAAAAGCACTCAGCTCATCGAGCGCATGGCGAAGATCACCGACGCTCGGTGGGTGTGGTTATTCCTGCCCAGGTCACAAGGTTTAGTAGCCAGGTTGGTGGGGAGGTGCTTAGGATTGCAGGGTTGTTCTGTTTTGGGAGTGAGGATTGCAACTCAATTTATGGTGTGGATGGTATGTACGGTTTTCGATATGCTTTGCTTCTTCGTTGGAGCCAAGGACACCGTGGACCCCTCAAGGACTGTTCTCCTACAAGGCTGCGATCGCCGCCGTCGGTGGACACACTTGGAGGATTGCTCCAGAAAGCGAGGTCTGTTTTGCATTGTTCAATGTTTGTCAAATATTTGTAGTATGTAACCCTGCTTTGCGGTGGGTGATAGGATTTCTTGGAGGCAGTTGTGTGGAGAACCTCACGTTTCTGGAAAGGCAGTTGGTCTGTTGTTGGTCTCCAACGTGGGCAGCCTGCACTTTGAAGATCATCCAGCCGATAGTACCACAATGTACCATATAGACAACTATATCATAAAAAATAAATACATTATCATAATCATATATAGAATAATAGCAATTAATAATACTGATACATATAAATACTCGTTCTTTGACCGAAAATCATGCTTCGGGCAGAACCTGCGTTGACCCGTCTACCCTTTGCTGTCGGGGGTCCAATATGGCAATGTGATTGGAGCAATATCCCTGCAGGCTCTACAGCACCATGAATCATCGGACCAGGAGCACTTTAGCAGGAAGATGCCAGAACATACGATCTTTGAAGAGGATCATTTCACAACGACATAGAATCATAGTGAACATCTACTGTATATATTCTATATCCACCCTCCTCAGTTCCGTTGTTTTTCAGAAAGGCTGTGGATTTTGTCGGCTTCCTCAGTTCCATCACGTCTGCTTCAGTTCGGCCAAGTAAATCATCCCTTCAGGCTTCAACTGGGAGAGCTGGAGAGCCGGTGGAGGAGATTTCTACAATGTGCCATGGTATAAAGTCTCAAGCCGCTCAATTTGCCGCTCAATCTTTCTTTTCGCCAGGTTAGGTGGTCAGTGGTAGCACACTACTTGGATCCTTCAATCCCCAGGGAAATTGACATAGGGGTACAGTCACCCAGATCATACGGTTCGGCCTACCCACGCCCATGCCAGTGTCACCAAGGCAGTCGGGCGCAAGGTACAGCTGTTTCATGAAACTGGGCAGCATTTCATTCTCTACAGGTGTCTATGAAGTGCCAGAGGGTCTTGGAAAAATATGACATAGTTCAGTTCTATTGCTTGCTTTACTGAGAGGTCGTCTTCACTCTGGCATGTGTTTGGAGGAACAGTTTCGGTCCGATCAGCTTTGGAAATTTCCTCGTGCGAAGGAGATGGGCTTCACAGATCTCTGGCTTCCACCCTGCTCACAATCGGTGGCTCCTCAGGTGCAGATACGGGGCCAAGTGGTGCCGATGGATACATCCAGTCATCAAGAAGCACTTCATCGCACTTTCATTTCCAAACGGGGCTTTTAGGTCTCGCAGCATCACTCAAGCGCGTGGTCTTTCAATGAACTCGGATGCTGTGCAGGGTTATCTGCCGTCACAGCTCTTCAACTTGGATGGCTCCAAGTATGGCACCCAACAAGCCTTGGAAGACCTGTTGCTGGGCGTGAGGATTGCCCGATTTTCGCAGTTGGTGTGATTAAGGGAGGGAGTACCACTTCAACGGTGTTTGGATGCAGCGCTTTGCTCGATTCTCAAACCTGGACATGGGAGAGAGGAACAACGTGGGTGCGCATGGTTGCCTTGACAAAGCTAGATTTTGTGTGTTGTTGAGATTTGAGACTTGTGGGTTGAGGGCGCTCCGTGCCGTAGAAGTGGATTCCTTTCGATTCCAAACAATCCCGCTCTTTTGGAAACGAATCGAAGGTTGGAGAAGTGCCACAAGAACGGGATCCGCTGTATGGCTGACATCGTGATCAATCACAGGCAGGAACGATGGCCAGGTCAAATTCAAGCAACTCATTCCCTCTTACAGGGGACATGAAGGGCTTCACTGGACACTACGAGGCCCAGGCTATCTAGTAGAAAAAATGGTTAATTCTTTGTTGCAGAGCTATTTTGCTGTGCTTTTCAATTTTGTCCACGGTCCACTCACCGGATCTCAGATGTGCCAGATGTGGACAAATATGGCAGGTGTGGCGATCGTCAAGATGGTGAGGGGCGATGGAATCAATTCTCGAGCGGGATGCAATCCAGGAACGATGGGAGCATTGTTTGACAGCGAACCGCTCATCAAGAATTGTTTGACAGGTTTGCTTTCCTTGTGTCTTCCTAGACAACTGAGCATTCCAAAGGTTCGCGAACTCAAGCTTGTGCAAAGCGCTGTACGCTAGCTCAAAAGAGATTCAAGAAGACCCAATATGGCCGTGGCTACCTAAAACGAGCCTTCTTGAAGATCATCCACATCAGCATTCTGGAGCCGGTGCACATTCTGGGGCAATTTTGTTGGCAAAAACAAGTTCTTTAGACCAAACTACGACAGCTCGCTCTTTGTCTCTGTGGCCGCCCACACGCCATTACGCGCCTCTTGAGGCCCAGCTTTGCCGGCGTGGCAGACTGGGGTGGCTGGGCCGTCACCTTGGGGGACCAATACTCCGACGGAAGTGGCCGCTTAGCCGAATGGAGCACATTTCATTTGTAATTCTTTTTACAAGGCTTTTGAATGGGAAACACTTATACAGACCCTGTGCTCATTTGCAAAAGGCCTAATCTGAAGCATTATTTAACCCAGGAATGCATGGCCCTGGCCATAGTGACGGTCGTTTCGATGCTGCTCCAGATATCGACCATCGACACCCCAAGGCTGCAAGGGTGGACGGCATTTGCCAATTTTGTTTTCGTATGATTTCGTCATATCTATCGGTACTGCGATGCTATGGCTATGTGATGCTATGTCTATTGATAGTTCATCAATTAAATTAGTAACTAGTAGTCTTTTCAGATTTCAGCCTTGATCTTCTCCTTCGCTCGAATGAACCTGGCCGTGGAATTTGGTCGATCTTTGTGTGCAAGGTCTTTTGGCGTACCCTAAATTGGCCGACTTGGTCAGAAGAAGCTAGACATGTTCTGAAAAGATGACGCTATGTCTAGGTGCAGGAATGCATCAGCATTTGGTTGCGATGGCTTCGTTTGCAGGCCGGGGGTTCTCCATTACTTTCTTGTGGACCACTGGGTTATATCGTCACTTGCCAAAGAGCATGCAATTCAGTTTCTATCTCTCCATGCAATGGCAGTGATACCCGCATGTGGAATTCTGGAGACGCCCAAAGGAGTTGAAGGATGGCATTCTAGACGTGAATGCACCTGGGAGCTTCGAACTTGGTGTACGTAGGCTTCATGTATGTGCGTATACATGGGTGCTCCTCCAAATTGGAGGGAACATCGAAGCTGGCAGGTTGGCTTCGATGGGTGGCGCTTTGACTTCGTCAAGGGGTATGGCCCGGAGTTTGTCGGAGACCTGGTGCACATCAATAAAAGGCTTGGGCCGCTTGGGGTAAGAGCCAAGCAAGATTGGTTGTAGTAGGCCAAATGATCACACTCCACACATTGCGAACTCCGCGTATAATATACATACACATTATATATATATATATATCACAACTGAATTTAGGTAACATAATATATATATATATATATAGATATAGACTGTCCGTGACTGTCCACAGGCCGTTTTGGACTGGAATACCTTTTTTAGGGGTTGAGGGGTTGAGCTCAAACATTCAGCATTTCTTCCTCAACCAAAGGAGCTTTCCACAGCTTCAGGGTGTTGCTATGCCCAACAACGGGAGATGTATGAGCCGAGCTCAGATTTCGTTTAAATTTGTTTCACGGGTTGGCTTTCCAAGGAAAGTACTGCGACAAGAGCCATCCTGCCTGGGCGGTTGGTGAGCTCTGGACAGACATGAACTATGACCTCCACGGCCTTTGTTCCATGGCATATGGCGATTTCGGCAGGAAGATCTACAGAAAAGTGCTTGAACCCATCCCAAATCGTGATTTCCCGCAGATTCTCCAAGAACCACACGGTCTTCTCTTTGGTGTTGTGACTTTTTCTCCGAAGCAAGCAACTTGGACGGTGGCCGCAGTAGGGCCGTGCATGAATGAAGCAAAAGGATACGTTTTGCTTGTCAACCAGCAATGAACATTAAACATCATGCAACTGACACATCTGCCAACACTCTCAACAGTTCCATGGCTTGAAGAGCAGTTTGCATTATTTGGACGCCCGGTGTTCGGTGTGTCCGTGGTGCGGAAGTCCTGGCTGGTTTTGACCAAGGCTACAATCAAGATAAGCATCGGCAGACCTTGGTCGACTGGGTGAACGCGACTGGCAAGAAATCAACCGAGTCTTGTCAGTGGAATGGGTAGCAGAGCTGCCTGATTCGATTGGCCAACTGGGACTTGGGAAATTAGACTCCTCGAGGTTCAATGAGTTTTCTTTGAGTAGGGAGCAGCACAGCTCCAGATTGATGAAGCTCCATTGCAGTCGCACACACACACACATACACATACACATGTTCTGCAACTTGTCCTTCGCCCGCCAAGGCCTTTGACTTTACCACGAAAGGAGTTCTTCAAGAAGCCTGCAGATTGACCCAGTTCTGGAGGCCATTTAGCGTTCACAGCCTTGACTCATGGAGGTCTCTGGGTTCTGATGCTCTGGGTGCCGCGATGTGCTTCATTTTAGTACTGTAAATCTTCCTGTCAAAGAGTCTGACATGCGACCTAGCTGACCTTGCTACTGTGAAGAGCAAGTCACAGAGGAAAGCATGTCTTGAACCACGCAAGTTGAAAATGGCAGAGAGAACATGCAAGTACAATTAATACAAAAGCGGTGAGAAACAGTTTGCCACGACCAGCACCTACAGAAAGATGGAACACAAGACATTTGGTCCTGGAGCTGACCTGCAGTCTGCGTCTATGAATCACCCCAGCAAGGATGAGGAAGGTGTCGGTTTCAGGGAATCTAGGAATCGGCAAATCCATGGGTGACAACTTGAACCAGCAAGGTGAACTGCCAGGCAGCCTGCCTGGGGTTGGGTTGCTTGACCGCGCTGCACGGTGCATCCTGCGTGAGGCTCCGGGACAAAGACGGCAAGCCTCCCGGGCTCATCGGGTGGCTCCCGCTGCTCGGTGGCCGTGGTGACCCAGTTGGTCCCAGTCGGTTGTGTCTTAGGTGTGTCTTTGCAAACAGAAGCTGCAGGGATACGGTCAAGTCCCAAGTCCCCACTGTGTAGGGAAAAGTCTCCAAGGAGATCTGAGATCAGGACAACTTTTTGTGGTCAGAAGAGCCAGAGATCCTAGTCAGTGGCCGGCACCACCATGGTTCATTATACTCGTACAATTACCGAGTACTTCTTGAGAAGATGAGAGATGGTTGATGTGGATAGGATAACAGGACCTGTCCTGCTTGTCGAAAGACCATGACGGACCATAAGAGCAGACTTTCGAGCTGCAGCGGCAACCCTGCATGTGACTCAGGCAATATGCGGTCACTTTCATCGACAACCACGACACCGGAAGCACTCAGCGCCATTGGCCTTTCCCGGATGACAAGGCGCGAGAGCCGACCTACGGAGGCCGACCTACGGAGGCAAATTGTTACTACTAGCGTGGCACTTGTTACTACTAGCTTCTTGTTACTACTAGTAAGGCACCTGTTACTACTAGCGTGGCACTTGTTACTACTAGCTTCTTTTTACATTTGTTTGTATGACGTCATGACGTCTATACTTTGCGTGGTCATGGCTAAAGTCCGCGGGAGGCAAATCAGGAAAAGGTCAATTTTCAGAGTTTTATTTGTGAACCGACCGACCCGTGAATTCAGGGTGAGGAAGTTTAAGCCCGTGATCTTGAACGTTGTGAGGTTTCGAAAGGTTTGGAGGTGGCACCTAGATTGAAGACTCATTGGGGTCTGCACGAGCTGGTTTTCTATGTTTTCGCTTTGGCTCTTTTGGACAGCTTTGTTGCCCAGGTCCTGATTGGCTATGCATACATCCTGACGCACCCAGGAGTTTGGAGTGAAGTTTGTGATGGCTCAGGGGGGGATTGGGCTGTGGAACTCCTGCTTTCATTTCTGAGAGAAGCTATTTGCAACACCTCTCTAAACCAGGCCTTGCTTACTTGTGGTGTTTTGGTTTCAGTGACGGCCCACGAAAGTCGATGGGCCTACTTTGCACCGTGTCCTTGTGCACAGGTAGCCGAGAGAGAGGTAGAGACAGCCTGCTGCATCCCATACAATTGTGAATTGGGTTGTTGTTGCTGCTTGCTGCTCTCTGTAAAGCAGGACTTTTTGCATGGTACCCCGACTCCCGAAGTCAAGAATTAAGACAACCAGCCCGCCGGAGGAATCCCGTCCGTTTTTTTGGGATCACATCATGGAATGGGGTGACGAGCCCCGCAAGAAGATCGGCTCATTGATGAAGGCTCGGCGCGATGCAGGCGCGGAGTTTGAATGTTGGAACCAGCACAGTCAGGGTGGTTGATGTTTCAATAAATGGATTCGCACTTGAACAGATCCCTTACCCAACAAGCGGGGCTTGGCAAAAGCTTTTCATACTTGTAGCTGCTTCCCTAGCAGAACTTGTTTGGGCGCTCAGATTCTTAGATCATCATCCGTGCCAATCTGTGCGAAACGTCTCGCACAGCCATTCCGGTGGACGCGCCCGTGAACATCCAATGCGCCGACGACACCCTCTACCTGGCGGAGATCGGCAATCCCCCAAGCTTGCGGGTGGCCCTTGGCCCGCGCCCTGCTGGGCAGCCTGATATGACGTTCGGCTCGAGACAAGCAGGGAAACCTGCAGGGAGAAGGCATGAAAGACCATGAAACCCAATAAACGGCCAGCAGTATACGCAACTTTACGGCAGCCACCAACATGGTAAGGACCTGTAGAAGCGGTCAGGAGTGACACTGAGATACACTGAGTAAGTGCACGTACCCAACAAACGGTTTTGCCGTTAGGTGGTTTCTTGGGATTTCTGGTAGTTGTATCGTTTATTCTAAGCTTATATATATATAATTATAGTATATTATAGTTTGTGTAATTTGCTTGTGAATTGCCAGCAGTTTGAGCTTGGCCAGCTTGGATCTCAGGAACTACTGGACCAATGGGCCCTCCGGGCATGGCTACCGGGTTTGGGTGAAACGAACGGGCTCTACGCAGAAGTACAGCTCGCTGAATGCCTCGCCGGAGGTGCACTGCCGGGAACTGAAGCAGGGAACAAGCCAGGAGTAGCCATATGTGTGTTTCAAATGGGTAGCAGAATGATACCTTCGACCTGGGAGTTGAAAGAATTATGGCCCATTTAGCCTATTCGAGCAGGTTGAACCAAGAGCTTGGGTTCGAAGACTCTAAAGAGTGTAAAACGAACTCTTGTACACAATGTTGGTTCGAGTCCTTCTATCCAACATCACAGCGATTCATACCAGATTCCTGACTAGATCTATAAAATGACTTTCTATCTTGCAACTGTTCCTTTCAATGAGAATCGAAGGTTGAGTTCGCACTCAATGGCCGAAGGTCTCGCGGACCGGGTGCGATCAGAGGTTCATAGACGTTACAATATTATGTCTTTGGTGACCCTCTGCTTCTGAAGCGGAGCCAGGCGACGCCTCTGGGCTCTCCACGCAGGAAGAAGGAAGGTGCGGTCGGTCTTGGTCCAGAGATGTTGACAGCTGAGACTTTGAACTTTGGCGAGAAGAGAGTCCTGCAAGCTCCCAGCGAACTTTTGGTCACATACATACTGTACTAATACTAATATATATGATATATATCTGTGGGCAGTTCAAAAGAAGGGGAACGCCGCATCCAGTGAATTGCTTCAAAATGCTTCAACCCGAGTTTGAGAAGGGCTGGAAGCTCGCAAGGAATTTGTGACTCTACGAAGAGTGGGTTAACCAGCAAGTCTTGTTTGCCCACGGCAAGGACTACAACCAGAGAGTTCAACTTGAGGATTCTTCATTAAGTAGCACGACCAGTGGGTGTGGGTCCAACATACGGAGCTTCACCAATCAGAGGGCTTGATCTGGTTGGTTTTACTTCCACGTGTTTTTGCATGGTGTCCCTCGTGCTAGTCACTCCGTTCGGCCGAGGAAGATCATGGATGTGCCTCAGCTTCAGAATCTCAAGGAACGTTTGCAGGCGTGTTTGCTGCTCATGCTTGCTGGGCTGGGAGTGGAAGCATAGGAGAAGTCTCTGCAAGCTGGGTCGACAAGGGAAAGCTTTGGGCACCATACGGTTACATTTGCCTAAGGAAGAGATCAATCCTGCCTGAGACCTTGTGCATGCGTTTCCAGAACCTTTTCAAACCAGTCATTTTTTTGTTGCAAGACCGCTTGTTGGAATCTAGTCTATCGACCCAAACCCAGCGACTGAAGAAACCTGTTGGCCCCAAGGCATTGGTCAAGCACACAGTGGCACACAGCCAATCTTTGCAAGGAACTCTTGCATGCGTTCAATGCTTCCCCTAATTAGGATACTATTGGGATGCCTGGTGGCAACAGAGCCAAGACACCACATGAGATACCCCAATACTATACACCATCATTATATATATATATATATATACACCAAATTCACAGTAAATAGCCAGTAGCAAGCACACGTGCTAGGTGATGGTCGCAGCATCCGTTTCCCTAGTCTTGGAAGATTAGGACTCAGCAGGAGCAGCCTTCATGAGTTTGCCCGTCTCTTGAACCCCAAGACCTCGCAGGCCTTGCTGAACGCCACGGACGCAGCATTGGCACATCGAAGGGCCAACGGGTAGCTTCGGCTGAGCATCGGGCGATGGCCATGTTTTTTCGACGTGCTGAGCTTATTTTGGTTTGGCACGTGATGGCACCCAAAGAAGTTCGTTTGAGCTTAGCCCAGTTCGACGTGTTGTTTGGTTCGGCTGCCGGTTTGGAATCTGAACGAAGCAGAAGAATCCCATCGGGGATTTCACCTAAAAGGTGGCAGAGCAGGTTTCCAACTTATTGCCAACCTGCTCTACCAATCGTGGCAAAGCATACTTTGGTCAAACCCATGCTTGTTTCAGAAGTGAGTAAAAGCGGCTGGCATGAATCATTGGTATTTTTCCAGCCGGCAAATACATACACTAAACACAGGCGACGCAGGGGACTGCCAGCCTTGCCCAGGTCTCGCTAGTGAATTGCCTGACCAAAGGTCGGAGGCTGGCACCTAGCGATTACGCTGGACGGCAACGACTTCAGGATGTTTTGTCCTAAGATCGGTGTTTTCATCATTTTCTCCAGCAGGCTATTGATGCAAAGCAGCTGCCTTTCAGGAATTGGATAAAGCATACGAAGCTACACGAAGCTGCCAAAGCTCCGAATTGCCTGTGGGAGTTTAGCGCTCGGCGCTTCCCCGCCGCGACAAGTGTAGCGCGGTGGCGTTTCAATGGGCTGCACGCTCCATGCAATTGTCAGGGCTGGAAATCTCTGTGAGAATCTCGCAGACTTGGAGATCCATGTGCTGCCTTGGCCGGCTGCAAAATGCAATTCTCAGGCTCATGGATCTCGGTGCAAGGTTTGTGATGCTTGTGTGTTTTCTTATTTTCCTTGGAATACTCCCTGGAATACTCTGTATGTAGATGTGTAGCTCCATAGTCGAAGAGCGGAGCTGAAAAGGGGACCTGCCTTTCAGGAGTCAGGCCCGAAGTCTTTGTCCAACTCCGCTTTAAACATCTTGGGCCATCACAAGTAGGTTGGAGGCCATCGCTATTAGATCGTCGAGAGTTCGCCTCTTGGGCTTCCTGTGTGGCTTTAGACATGCTTTGTACCAAATGCACCTTTGTGTGGCCTTGGATTGTTTTCCCTTTCGTTTGGCCGCTGGTCTTCTCCTGCTCTCCTCTCTGGGTGGAAGTCATTTGCATACACTTGCAAGGATCCTTTGAAGTGCATCTCAGAAGAATTGGCCAAGCAAAAGCACAGGGATTGGCCCATTTCCAGCCTGAATCGCAGAGTGGCATGGCCCGGTTTCAAAGGGACGGAGCCGGTGCTGTTGACATAAAATTGTCCGCCCAAAGCAGAGATTGAACCCTTTGTGATACTTCCAGTACATTCCAGTAGCAGGTCTTTTGTGTGGTGGCTTTCCTGAAACTACAGAACCTTGGGCGGTGACTGGCTTGGGGAAGCACCAGGTCTTCCGAAACGATTTCAGAGTGCTCGAAAATTACTTTCGCAGGCCTGCATGTGCAAAGGAGCCATGCCAAACGTGGGTTGATCATTTGCGATAGTCATCAGTGAATACCAGTGAGTCACCAGTTATATACCAACTTCATCCAACTTAAATTTTCAAGCTGGATCAACCTTGAGCCTGTTAGACGCCCCCCTTCCTCACAGCTTGGATTGGAGGCCATGTTGCCATCCGCAAAGAACGGATCTGGCCAGAGCGCCTACCCCTTCGAGGAAGGCAAGTCGAGAGAAGAGAAAAAACGACTGCCGCCAGAGTTCTACCGTCACCAACAAAATCTGTTCCGAGTGTGGAGGAGCAGATCAGTTGTACATTACTGTAAACAAGTTCAATCAGAAAGTCAGCCTCATCATTCTGGAGGCTTTCATGCTTTTTGGTGGAAGAGCCGCTATGGTTCATTGTAGCTATATAGCTCAAGCTGTTAACTATCTCGCACTATCGCCATGGCACTATGCCCATCTCCCCACAGTTTTCTCCCTCAGACCGCAAAGTGCTGGAAACAACAGTAAGCCATGTGAGCCAGTCAACAGGCAGGGGCATAAGCCACCAAAGTGGTCGGGTTTATGTTTCCTCTTGCTAGATCTGCTGGTGTCCTTAGTGTCTTTGGGCCGTATCTCTAATCCCTGAGTGTTTAGGGAGGAACACTCCAACCAAGCACAGTCAAAGATCACCTCATCGTCCTCATGCGCAGCGCTAACATCCCACCTATCCGGACTGGCTAAGCCGCCATGCGTGTGAAGCGGCACAAGAACCATCGGAGAATTTTGCGCTTCTTCAGAATAACATTCGGAGTTCAGGAGCATCCAAACAAGTTTTCATGCACCTTTAATGTGCAGGGTTTTGCAACGTGAGTTTTAGAGAGTACGAAGAATGCAGCGCCATGCAGCGCCTTGCTTGATATAGTGTAGGGCCTGGTGTAGGGTACTCTTGCTGTGCTCAGCAGTTGGAATCACCGCTCTGGACTGTGGAGAGTAGCAGAATGTAGCAAGAAGACGATAGAAGATGCTAAAATGACATCTGAAGGTTGAGCTGTTGAGACCATGTGCCTCAACTCTTTGAGGGCCTGAAGAATCCTCATTGGACTGGCCTAACTTAACCCAAAAGCCTTCAGCCCAGGAGCCTTACCACGTCTTGGTAGATGGCACCTTTCTCACGCATGCGTTGCAGCAGCGCATCTATGTCAAGGCTTTGGGCTTTGGAAGGTGTGAGCCTGTGTGAGCACGGAGTAGCACTGCGGGGGGCGTTGCGTTCGGCAGGAGCAGCTTCCGAAGATGTTGGAAGGTCGGAGTACTCCGATGGTCACCAACTGCGTGCTGGAGGAGCTTCGGGCCTTGGGCGAGCGCGCCTTAGGTGCTGCCATCATCGCCAAGGGGTGCCTTGGCGAGGTATGGCGAATTGACAGTGCTCGTGGTCCAAGGACGTCTAGGCATGACTTAAGGCTATCGCGACATATCGCGACTTACTTTATCCCAGAAATCCTCTCTCCGGGCTACAATGAAGTTTGATTTTGTTCCCCAGATGACGTTACTCTCTGTAGGGTTGCATCCGAGTTGCATAGCCTTCATGGAAGGGCTTGGCATGAACCTTCGTGTTTTTTTTGAGTGACAGAAACTCCAAACCCTCAGTCGGAGACAAGCACTGATCTCCCAAGGTACTACCGATTGAAGTGTGGACATGAGACCCCAATTGTCGCTGCCAAGTGTATCTGTCAGCAGATTGGGCAAAGCAATGAGCGCAGGCAGGACCAGCGGGGCTTCGCAGGGCTTCGCAGGGCTTCGCAGGGCTTCGCAGGGCTTCGCAGGGCTT